GATGGCGTTGAATTTGACACTTACTGGCAAAATGGCGGCTATAAAAAAATCTCGGACATAATTTTCGCAGAGTGACACATCTTTATAGTATCTAATCTTTGCCTTTAGGATGAAGCCTTGTCATTACTTCATGTATGTCTACTATGATGTCACAGAGTAGATAAGACATACAGAGACGTAACTGACCGTTGTAAACACTGCGGAAGATTACGTTATCACAGAGCATATGCTGTTGTGGTGACCCTGCCCTAGTTGGCAAAGCTAAATAAATAAATAAATAAATAAATAAATAGGAAGTTATACCAGAAGCGTAACTCTAGTCGTTTCCCTTATTGTTTGACGTCCACGAAAATTTTAACTCGCTCACGTCAGGCCACGCCATCCTGGCTAGTACAGCCGGAAGTTTTTATCAGGATTTGGTAGGCGTGATTGATGACGAATCGCTTGTAAAAACGCGGACAAATATTTGCTCGAGTTACGCTTCTGGTATAACTTCCTATTCTGTGCCAGAAGTGTCACTCAGACGATATTTCATCCGAAATTTTACGTGCTGACGTGAAAATACGCCATCATATGACGCCATCCTGGAGTGCACATGGAAATTTTTCATGGGTACAAACATATGTACAAATTAAGTGTGTGTTGTTGTTAGGTACTCAGGTGAATGATGTTTGTGATGTTACTCTGAGTGTGCATCCACACCGGGCAAGCTGAAAAGTTTGCTTGGCCACCACGGTGGGATTTCCGCCCACCACAGTGGGCTGTGTGCACTCCAGGATGGCGTCATAGCACGTAAAAAATTTCGGACGTTTTTCCCAAGCCAAAACACATAGGAGTGATACTTCTGGTCTAGTATCTATTCTGTGGTGACGTCATGTGCAAGCAAATATGCGTCGGCGCATGTGTGTGTTAACAAAAAATACAATAGACGCGTAGTTTAGACATTAATAAAAAGTTTTCTAACATTTGAAATCTAAAAAGAAACTCCGGCCTTATGGATTTCTGTCGTTGACGACAGGAAGATTAAATATTAAAGAACTCCACAAGTATTTCCAGTAGAAAATACCACCAAAAAATTCTGTGTGAAAGATACCTATATACAATATACTCGAACAATATAAACAATGTATCACTAAGCCCTACCTTTCGCCGAATATAACTTTGGCCCCTTTCAGCGTATTAGTCTTGTTCGAATCACAATCAAAGACACTATTTAGAGTGTTATTTTCAAGCTTGTATCTGCAGATTTGCATGTTTAATTTCGGTATTTCGGAATATCTAAATTTTACGCGAGAGCTTCAACCGGAAATACAAGTTCAAACTTGGGATGTTCGGAAATCGATTCTAAAAGTCAAATTACCCCTGTAGGCTGTAGCATGATTTGCACATGCATCAGGCTATGGGTGCTCCTTAATCCTTATTGGTCAATTTTAGCATGTGGCACATATGTGCAAGTAAAAAAAATTCAAAATAAATATTTCTACTTGTGTATTCAAACGAAACCTTCTACATAAAAGCGCTTACAAAGAGTATTTTACTGCTATTGACTTGGGCGAATTCTGAAGAGGTTTGAAGATATTCAAGTGGCAAGTAAATTTATGATTGTTTTGGTTTGTGTAATGTTATGATGGAATTTGTTCCCCTGTTAGAAAGTTTATTTTGTGAGGATTTCAACAGTGGTTTCTGCTTTATTTAAAGGGGGGGGGGGGGTAAATACTTGCTGAGATATTTTAATCTTCCCCACTCCAAAGTCGGAAATGCAAATATGAACCTACAAGAAATAGTTTGTATGGTTCGGTTAATTAAAGAACATTTTATACAATAAATTTATCGATTCTCTTGATTTATTCATTTTCTCTTGCATATGTCGACTGTAATTATTTCTAGTTTTTAGGTTGTCACATTCACTATTCCACTTGCATTTTCACAGAAAAGGCAAAACATCAAAGTTGCTTCCATTTTGAGTTTTTGACACCTTCGGAACACTTAATTGGCACCACGTTTGCAAGACAAATTTCAATCTCAATCCTACAGCCTGATTTCCTATTTGCAGGCTAGGAAAAACTAGGCCCCTAGACTCATTTTTCATAATATTGCACTGTTCAATATTCAATCTTCAGGATCAAGTAATCAAACCTCATTTTGATAAGCATCATGCTGAGTCTGCAGAGTGACAGGGGCACCAGGCAGGCCGGTTCAATTGTGCCAAATATTGCCCATGTCAAAATATAAGCGAATATTATTATTAATATGCATCAATCTGGGTGATGGACATGGCCTCATTTTCCGCACACAAACATGGTCAGGGGTGGTGATAAAAAATCTAACCGTTAGCTTTTTGCTTAAATATCAGGATTGTTTTTACTCTGTAGCTCAGTTGGTCAGAACCTAAATTATCTGTAAACAAACAGACAAAATGGTAACAGCAGGATTACCTACAATTAATGCACATATATGATTATTGTTTAACCCATTGAGCCGCAGTGCGCCCTACTTATTTTTTTACTTGTCTAATGCCAGACAATTTTACTGGGTTAATCAAAAAATCTGACAATGTCTCTAGTTAACCCATTGAGCCCCTTTGCGCCCCAGTACGCCCTAGTCCTTTTTTTACTTGTCTAACGCCAGACGATTTTACTCATCAATGGGGAAGCTCTGCAGCTTAATGGGTTAACTTATTAGATAAAATACTCACACGAGTAACAGCAAATACCTGGCTGCTCTGCTAGTCGGAACACCTAGGACGGGGCTTAAGGGGCCAAATCACCTCGCTAAAAAGTGGCAATTCTTTGAGTTACGATTTACAAATACGTTCATCATTTCTATTTCTCTGTTTTATCATTGTCACGTTCATCTTTTCGTTCATCATTTCTGTTTCTTTGCTTTATCATTGCTTTATCAGTGTCTCCAAACTCAGATACTCTGCCGTTAATGTAATATTACTGTATGTCATTTGATATCCAGTATTTTACTTTCATTTTCATTTTCCCCGAAAAATACTAGCACTTCCAAGTAATAATCAAATATATGAAAGATAATCAAGAAAACAATTATTTTTTGTTTATAATATAGGCCAGTTACAGGACTATCGTTTCATAAAAAGATAAAATAAAAAATAATTAGACGACAAAACAACAATTGAAAATCATGAGTGATCAAGGAGGAAAGAAGGGGAAGGGACGCGGTAGGAAACGGGGTAAGGGGAGAGGAGGGCAGCAACAACGACAAAATGAAAGTGTTCCTGGCAGGCAACAGCAACAGAGAGACGAACAACAAGGGGCTACAGCTTTGCCAGAGCAGAGACAACAACCACAACAGGGTCGGCAACAATCACAGAAACAGCCACAAAGGAAACGGCAACCGAGCGATGAACAACAAGGGGCTACGGCATTGCCAGAACAGAGACAGCCACCTAAAGAAACACAGCAACAACCACAACAGGGTGGGCAACGATCTCAAAAACAGCCGCAAAGGAAACAGCAACCGAGCGATGAACAACAAGGGGCTACGGCATTGCCAGAACAGAGACAACTGCCTAAAGAAACACAGCAACAACCACAGCAGGGTCGGCAACAATCGAAAAAACAACCACAAAGGAAACAGCACCCGAGTGATGAACAAGAAGAGGCTATGGCACAGAGACAACCACCTAAGGAGACACAGCAACAACCACAGCAGGGTCAACAACAATCACAAAAACAGCCGCAAAGGAAACAGCAACCTGGGGATCGAACAGATGGTGCAGGCCCTAGTAAGCCACAGGGGCAGCCTTCACCCGCATCTCAAGGGGATCCCAGACCTCAGGATCCCTCTCAACCCAGAGCCCAGCCATCAACACAACCACAACCATCTACAGGGGCAACTAAACCTGCACCCCCTCAACAACCCCAATCCCCCCGCGGGGCAGAGAAACCCGATCCCTCTGGTCAAAGAGGAGGTACACCACAATCGGATAGAGCCGTACCGAAACCGCCTCGCCGTCCTGATGGTGGAGGCAGATCCGGCCGACCTATCCAACTTCGAGCAAACTTTCTACCTGTGAAAATACCCACCGGTGATGTCCATCATTATGACACAGATATCCGAGAGAAAGGAAAGAAAAGCGAAGAAGGGTATACGAGGGCTGAAGCCCCAAAAATTATTCAAGAGGTTGTGAAAATATACGAGAAGGAAAATCCAAGTGGTCCTAAATTGGTGTATGATAAGAGCGGCAAGAACATGTATTGTCGCCGTCTTATCCCTGGAATAGGAAAAGACAGTCGAAGGTACAATCTACAGTACACCACAGACAATGGTAGAGAAAAAGAGTTCATTGTCGATGTTAAACATGCTGCTGTTGTCAGTCTTTATTACCTTAATGAAGCCCTTGAAGGACGACATACTGAAATACCATTTGATATCATGCAAGCAATCCAGACTGCTCTGCAACAAATGCCAAAAATGAAGACCATCCAAGTCCGTAATTCGTTCTTCGATTATCCGACCGGTCGCGAAAAGGACCTTGGCGGGGGTATACAAGTGTGGAACGGGACGTTTGTTAGCATTCGTCCGACACAATGGAAGATGATGTTGAATGTTGATACTTGTGCTACGGGTTTCTACAAAGGACAGTCTGTGTTAGACTTTATGTGTGAGTTTCTCAATCAAAGAAATTTGCCAAGACGTTTGGACGAGAGACAACGAAAAAAATTTGCCAAAGAAATAAAAGCAATAAAAGTTGAAACAACACACATAAAAAGAAAACAAAAAGCCAGCGGTCTGTCCTTCAAGTCGGCCAAAGATGAAACATTCGATTGCGAAGGTCGAAAGGTTTCGGTGTTGAATTACTTCAAAGATAAGTACAACATCACTTTGCAACATCCAGATCTGCCGTGTATTAAGATTGGCCAGAAGGGAAACCTCATCCCGATAGAGCTTTGTCGAGTTGTTGACGGGCAAAAGAAGCAGGGTAAATTGACGGGAGCACAAACGCAACAGATGATTCGCCACACTGCCATACCTGCACCAGATCGCCTGCAGAAAATTACCGAGTTGATCAGAAAACTCCACTACGAAAGTGACCCATATAGCCGAGACTTTGGCATCAGTATTGGCAATGAAATGGTCACTATACAGGGACGTGTTTTAGACCCACCACTTCTAATGTATGGTCCAGGCAACCGACCGGGAAAAGAGATGCCTCGCGACGGATCGTGGAAAATCACAAAGAAAATGCTTGACCCGAAAGAGTTGAAGGAGTGGGCCTTGATTTCCTACATTAACGACAGCCAGCCAAAGAGGGGAGGAGGAGGCGGTAGATATCGTGGCCCAGAATACCTTGATGATCGTGGAGTTGACGATCTCATTCACTATCTGGTAGACGTCGGTCGTGAAAAGGGGGTACGAGTTAACGAGAATCCATGCTATGTTGGAAAGGAAACAGGTTTTCATGGTACTGATAAACTATTCAGTAACCTCAAGGCTCGTTATCCTAATTTGCAGTTAATCGTTGTTGTTTTGCCAGTGAATGGCGACGATTATTACGAGGAAGTCAAGCACTGTGGCGATGTCGTTTATGGTATCACCACGCAATGCATCAAGGTCGAGCAAGCTTCAAGCGATTTCTCTGATTGGAGGAAACGAGAGACACTTGTTAACTTGTGGCTCAAGATAAATGCCAAACTCGGTGGTACAACCTGTGCTCTTGACAAGACTGTGAAATCTCCGATTTTGCAACGCCCAGTTATCATATTTGGTATGGTATATATATTGAAACTGTTTTTACTTGGACAAGTAAAATTATCTGGCACTAAACTTAACAAACAACAACTATTAATGCAGTGCATCCTGTAGCTACTTTGTTATTTTACTTTGTCTAATGCCAGACAATTTTACTTTTGTAAATTTTGTAAACCACACCTGGAGTAACTTCAAATGAAAATATATACATCCATTCAGTCCTCGCAATTTTCAGTGGCAAAAACCAATGGACCATTTGCATTATAGACTAACTTTTGATCTAGACAAAAATTTCATCACAGCATGAAAGAGCATCACAAAATTAGTAATATTCCAAAGTTTCGTTGCGAAATGTTGTAAAATGCGGATAATATAGCCTTGCGAAATTTGCAATTTTCAGTCATTTTGTATTACAAAGGGAAATTGATGCCCCAATTACACCCGATTGGGCTGTCAAGTTCCCGTGCGTAATACAAAATGACTGAAAAACGGCAAACTTCGCATGGCTATATTAGGCCACATAAAATAAATTCCTTGATTCTCATCACCGCCCGACTGTATTTTAAGAGATGCTTGAAATTTTTTTATATTTTGTTATACAATATAAATGAACTGCCCGACAAAATATTTCAAGACAGTTAAGTTTTTTATATTAAATATAAACCTCTCGGCTCTTCGACATTTTCAAAGTCTAGTGATGAGAATCAAGGAATTTATTTTATGTGGCCTTATCCGCATTTTACAACATTTCGCAACGAAACTTGGGAATATTACTAATTTTGTGATTCTCTTTCAAGCTGTGATGAAATTTTTGTCTCCATTGCCACCAATATTCTCTGCTAAATTCAAATTATTGACAGCAATTTTTTTCCCAATGGTTATCTATTTACTATTTGCTGTAAAAGAATCTATCAAAGTCATTAGGTTTCAAATTATCCCTTTTCATTTTCAAATAGTCATTTTGGTACAAAAAATTGCTGTCGACCCACTGCCGAACTGTAAATATAGATAGTTTTTTGTCTTGGACAATTTATTTGAAATTGCAAGGACTGACCCTAGAAAATCTAAAAAATTGTACCCTGTACCAAAGATACCCAATAGACCTTTCCCCTTTTAAGTGAAATTTTGATCTAGACAAATCTGGACCAAAATTACTTTGATCATCTGATTATCAATTTCCCGTTTGTAATACAAAATGACTGAAAAACGGCAAACTTCACAAGGCTATATTATCCGCATTTTACAACATTTTGCAACGAAACTTCGGAATATTACTAATTTTGTGATGCTCTTTCAAGCTGTGATGAAATTGTTGTCCAGACTTGTCTAGATCAAAATTTCACTTAAAAGGGGAAAGGTCTATTAGAATGCAATGTCTTCTCTAGCTATCCTTTATTGTTTTACTCTATCCAATGGTTGATTCCAGCTATAGACTAAATTTTGATCTAGGCAAGAAGCTGCCTCGTCCCCAGGCGCTAATAAAAAAATTTCATGGGAGTCACTATATGAAAGGTTTACATGAAGTAGTGCATCACGACGAACAAGCGCAGGGAGTTATGGGCTTGAGGCATCGATGCACTACTTCATGTAAACCTTCATATAGTGACTCACATGAAATTTTTTTATTAGCGCCTGGGGACGAGGCAGGGCAAGAAGAACAAAATCCTAGATAGAGTATATTAAAATTAGTAAAATTGCAAAGTTTGGTTGCGAAATGTTGTAAAATGCGGAAAATATAGCCCTGCGAAATTTGCAAATTTTGTATTAATTTGTATAACGCGCGGGAAAATGCACCACTTTCGGCAATATCGCAGCCAGACTATCTACTTCCGCTTCCCTGAGTCAGCCTTGCGAGGTTGCACTTTCGGCCCAAATGTGGCGCATTTTCCCACGCGTAATACAATTTAATACAAAATTTGCAAATTTCGCAGGGCTATATTTTCCGCATTTTACCGCATTTCGCAACCAAACTTTGCAATTTTACTAATCTTAACATGCTCTATCCAGCTGTGGCGATGGATTTTATTTTAAAATTTAGTCTATAGCTGGAATTGCCTATTCTAGACTCATTCTACTCATGAACCCATTGAGCAACAACAGTTCTCCCCCCTTGACAAGTAAAATTGTCCGGCATTAGACCGAGTAAAATTATATAATATAAAAGTATATGGTGCATTAATAGGATGCAATGTGACTTTAGTTAATAGGTTAACACATTTTAGGGTATTATATTGAACTGTAATATCCTTTCATTGTCATAACTTGTTAAGGTGCTGATGTCACCCATCCTGCAGCTGGAGACAAATCTAACCCATCCATTGCAGCCGTTGTAGCAAGCAAAGATTCTTACCCCACCCTCTACAATGCCGAAGTCCGTGTTCAAACACACCGTCAAGAAATGATTGCAGATCTTAAAGAAATGGTCAAAATACTTCTGAAGAAATTTCGAGCCTCGACAGGAGCGATTCCTGGAAAGATAATTTTTTACCGAGATGGCGTCAGCGAGGGTCAGTTCCGAGATGTCCTCATGAATGAATTGTCGGCGATTCAAAGGGCATGTCGTGAGCTAAAAGACGACTACACCCCTGCTATAACTTTTATCGTTGTCCAGAAGCGTCACCATGCTAGATTCTTTGCAGTCGACCCAAAAGATCAGAGAGGCAAGAGCAGAAACATACCAGCAGGTAAAGTGCTGTTTTGTTTGTTAATTGTTTATACGTAATAATTCAAATCCGAACTTGAAATCTAGTCCAGTCCAAATTGGAAGACTTGAAATGACATCTCATACTTACATGTAAAGTGAGGTGAATTAATTTTGATCCAGTACAAGGACTGAACTGATTAACAGTCTTAGGACTGGATCAATATACTTCATCGGGTATCCAGTATATTATCATGTCAGCAAAATAAAGCAATATGATTGGCTAGTGAGTACCCTGGGTGCCAGAGCCTCTTGTGATAGAAGTGAGGACACGACGAGGAGGCTCTGGTCACACGAGCATCCAGCCTCACTTTGGTGAGTTCAATATTTGAACTCTGTTTGTGATTGGTCAATATTTATGCGAGTCTTTTCATTGGTTAACCGATGAGCGTTGGTTAACCAATGAAAAGACTCGCATAAATTTAGACCAATTACAAACAGAGTTCAAATATTGAACTCATGCACCAAAGTGAGGCTGGATGCTCGTGTGACCAGAGCCTCCTCGTCGTGCCCAGGGCAGCTAGTTTAATAATTATTCATGAGAATTATTAATGAGTTTGAGATAAACTGTTAAAAATCCATGAGTCTGGCATACAATACAACACAACACAATACAATACACTTTATTTAACGAGGGTAACACCAATTACAAACGTATTCTCCCTAGTGGCCGCATAGGGCTTGATACAGTAAATAACCCTGATATTTCTGCGAAACACATGTCTAACTGAAAAATTTGTGAAGATTCTTGCTGAAGATTATCGTGTTGTAAAAGAGCAATTGGCACAACTATGCATGCAGCGGTCAAGTGACTCAAGTCCAGCGTTACTCAACTTTGAAAATCACATGGGCACGTTTAAAATTGCGACACGGTAGAGACAACAGGTCAGGGGTGCACCCTCCCCCCTAGGCAAGTCCACCACCACCCTAAAAAAAACCCGGCTTGACGGGCTTGACCATACATTTTCTGCTCTTAATTTAATAGCTTAGTTTTGTTCTTAATTTAATTTAATATCACATGGCAGGAAATCCACAACAGCGCAAGCCAAACGAATAGCTTCTTCGAATAGCGATCAGCAAAGCTTCTATACTGTTAGCGCATGTCGATTTCTTGAAACGATTTAATTTATTTGTGAGCTCGCGAGAAAATGCTTTAGTGGTTAAATATGTCAACATATCGAGGTTGTTATACTACCCATATTTTCAAATATACTGTATTTTAACAAGCAAATTCACTGTACCGTGCTACAGCAACTTTCCACTCATGCACACGTGATAAAAAGCCGATATAAACTTTATAAACAAAAGATACAGTTATCGGTATCGGTTCAACTATATATCAGATGTTAAGTCGGCAATTTTATATTCATCATATAGGCACAGTGGTTGATACACAGATCTGCCATCCGTTTGAATTCAATTGGTACCTGTGCAGCCATGCTGGTATACAAGGCACGAGCAAGCCAGCCCTCTATCATGTATTGTACGATGACAGCAATTTCAAGTCAGACGACTTACAGATCCTAACCAATCAGTTGTGTTACACCTATGTGCGGTGTGCAAGGTCTGTATCTATCCCCGCCCCCGCCTACTACGCCCATCATGTCGCGTTCAGAGCCAGACACCATTTGAAGATTGAAAGTAGTACTGAAGGCAGTACGGTATCTGATGACTCCGGGCCCAAAGAGGTCACCCAGGAAATGAGAAATTTGGTCACAGTCCATCCAAACGTGAACTGCACTATGTACTTTGCTTGAAGGGAAATGGCAATGTATTTTTTATTTTCTCATTTGAAAGAACTTTTAAGACTATATATAAAACTCCTTTACCGTTTTTTCATATCTTGCTTACTTCTACAAATATTTTGATCGAAGGAATGAAATGTCCACCATCTTCAATTTTTGTAGATATGCATGTCCACGTCACAACAGGGGTCACGCAATATTTTTATCTAGACAAACACTAATCATTTTGCACTCAAAACTATACTCTGTCTGCCCGGTAAAACATCTACCAATCAATATTTAGTAAGCAACGAATACTTTTATATGGTTAATCCCTGTTGTGACGTCACCAAAACTACCGTTAATGAGATCAAGAATTTAATATCCAAGATGGCGGACATATTACTTCGGATGAAAAATCGGTAAAAGAAGTTAATATATAGTTTCATAGTTCATTCAAATGAGAAAATAAACATTTATATTGCCATTTCCCTTTAATTAATCCTACACGGCTAAAAACGCACAGGTTGTTCCAAGTTGATATCGACAGGCGTGAACAATGTTGTGCGGCCAACTATGAACAAGTTGTCAACCATGTTTTTCCAAGTTGTTACAGTGGAACAATGCTGTAACAACATGTTGACAATACTGTTCATAGTGGGCCGCACAACCTTGTTCACGCCTGTTGATATCAACCTGGAACAAGTTGTCATTGATTTTCTCAACTTTTACGCGTGTACTTTAGTATTTACTCTGTATATGAACGCCAGACGATTTTACTAGTCAGTGGTAGAGTATGTCAGTAAGTGGGTTAAGCCGGTTTTTAACTATAATTCTAATGTATAAATTTCAAAATTTAGTAATTTAGTAAATGTTGATTGGTTATTAGCGGAGGTTATGCAAGCCATGTTTTTGTCAACACGGTAATGGACCTTTCCCCTTATAACTAAAATTTCGATCTAGACAAAAATTTCATCACAGCTTGAAAGAGCATCACAAAATTAGTAATATTCCAAAGTTTTGTTGCCGAAAATCTTGTAAAATGCGGATAATATAGCCTTGCGAAGTTTGCCATTTTTCAGTCATTTGGTATTGCAAACGGGAAATTGACATCCGATTCGGGTGTTGGGGCTGCAATTTCCCGTTTGTAATGCAAAATGACTGAAAATTGCACAACGTCGCAAAGCTCTATTTTCCTCATTTTACAACATTTCGTAACGAAACTTTGGAATATTACTAATTTTGTGATGCTCTTTCAAGCTGTGATGAAGTATTTGTCTAGACTTGCCTAGATCAAAATTTTGGTTATAAGGGGAAAGGTCTATTCAGACTCATTTTGGCGGCATTTTGCCTCATAGCGCTCGTGTAAGGAAGCAAAAAACTTTAAAAATCTTATGTTTTGTCAGATGTGTTGAAGATTACCTCAAACTGATACAAACACAGTTTTTAATCCAGCCCCCCTCGGCAATCTGACGTTCGTGTTGACAAAAACCTCGCTTGCTTTAGACCCCGTTTACACGATACTGGACAAATTTGGGACCGGTCTGAAATTCTTCCTTTTTCGCCTGTTTACACGCGCATTCGTCCTGTTAGGGGGTCTCAAATTCGTCCGGTTCCGTGGTTCTCGTGTGTTTACACGGCCGAAACGGCCGAATTTCAGACCGGTCCCAAATTCGTCCGGGTACCGTGTAAACGGGGTCTTAAGCTCCGCTAATAACGCGAACACACCAGGGACCGGTTCAAAGCTGGGTTGACGCTAACCCTCGGAGTTAAAATTTAATCTGCTGTTTTAGTTTATGTTTCTGCAAGTCTGTTTATTTCTCAACTTCAGGGAAGAAAACTCCTACTGATTCAGACAAGATCTCTGAAGAAATATTTCGAAATTTATAAGCAAGCTCTTGGGAAGTTTGCTTTAAATTTTAAGTTAACCTTGGGTTAAGCTAACCCAGCTTTGAACAACCGACCCCCGGAGGCTTCGGTGGCGCAATCGTCAGGGCAAGCGGTCTGCCGAAGTCGTGGGTTTTCTTCGGGCGCTCCGGTTTCCTCCCACAGGGAAAGTTGACAGGGTTGGTTAGGTTAAACACAGTTAAGAAAAAATAAGAAAGTAATCAAGTAAGTAACATGGGAAAGCGTAATACTTGATGTAATCTGTCACTGAAAAGCCCCGATGGGGAGTGAGCTCCGGGACGTAGCAACCGGGGGGTGGTTTGGGTGTGTACCCCTCCCCAACTGTGAAACTCAGGTAAAAATCACGTAAAATTCAAGTTGAAATTTTGGCATTTTCAGGTAAAATTTGCCTAATAAAGTCGTTATTTTTGTGAAATGATACCATTTATGTAAAATACAGTCAATTTAGATCCAATAGACATTAACTTGCATGTTAGACCAATTTTTGATCCAGGCAAAAAAAAAGTAAATTCCCGTAAAGAACTTATTAAAATTAGTAAAATTGCAAAATTTGGTTACGAAATGTTGTAAAATGGAAAATATAGCCTTGCGAAGTTTGCATATTTTGTATATGCTTGTATTACGTGCGGAAATTGTTAGCATTTTTTGAGCCAAAAATGGTGACAATTTCCGCACGTAATACAAACATATACAAAATTTGCAAACAGGGCCGCCCAGAGGGGGGGGGGGCAAAGGGGGCAAATTGCCCCGGGCCCCGAGTTGCTGGGGGCCCCTGAAAAATTTTTGTTGGGCCCCAGCCTTTTTTGTGTGTTAAATATTTCCGCGCGAAGGACAAGATATCTGTTTTCTTGGGCTAAGTACCGAATTTTGGCATAAAAAAATGAGATAAAGTCCCTCGAAAGCAATTGCAACGTACTCGTCCGGAAAAATTTTGTACTCCGGAAAAAAATTTTTACCCCTAAAATGGTACACTGACCGAAAATTTTTTGGCGACGGGGGGGAGGTTGTTCTCCGGAAAAAAATTTTTCCGGGAAAATTTTTTTAGATAGGGGCCCCTAAAAAAAAATTTGCCCCGGGCCCCCGCCAACCTCTGGGCGGCCCTGTTTGCAAACTTTACAAGACTATATTTTCCAAGCTTTACAACATTTCACAACCAAATTTTGCAATTTTACCAATTTCATTGTTCTTTTTAGCTGTGATTCCTTTCTCTTTACTTAGATTAAAATTTATTCTAGCATGCAAGTTGTCCACTCGTTTGCGAATTTGCTTTAGAAAACGCCAGAAATGCAGTCCTTCAAAAATATAATGGGGAGGACCCCAGACCCCCTTTTATTCGGAAACTTGGTATGACAGTGGAATCAATCAGAAAAAGCTCTATTATAATTATTACACTTCAGGTAAATTTTAAACATTGAAGTTCAAATTTCAGGTAAAATCCTCCGACACCCCCTAACTTCAGATGCTTCGCTGCGTCCCTGAGTGAGCTGAATAATGTGATGTGTAATGTATCACCAATACATTTTCGGTGGGATATACGCTTGAAGGAAAACAGGCTTCAAATCTTAAATCTTAATATAATTGCAAATATATACACTCGTGTAAAATGACTTAAAAGACCAAGGGATATTCTTAATTTTGCTGGACCTGTAACCACTATATGTTTATGAAAACAAATTTATTCAACTAAATTTCCACCTAATTAAAAGTAATATACCACATTATTCACGGCCAGTTACATTCCGCCGTAACTGTTGCAATTTGTAATCGTTGAGCGTTTTATATTTACATGTGTTGTACAATACCCACCCCGTATGTTCATACGGAACTGTACATTGATTCCTCACACCCGCAGGGATTGTGCAGCTTCGTCCTATTCCCAAGAAATAGGCAACAGGAGATTTGTCAAGATTTGTTGGCACCACTGAGGTTGGCACTCATTCCTGCTTTAGAAAGTTAATTATAGGCACCGGTCAATGTCCGGTTCTTTAATGTGTCTTGCATCATGGTGACCGCGGTTTTCTTTACAAGGGCACAGCTTGACTCTCATTTAAAATCAATCAATTCATTGATTGTCTTCAAAAGCAAATTGAAAAAATCTCTATTTGTAACAGATAGCTGTTTATGGAATTATAGGTATTAGTTATTTTGTACTTTTGTCGTTTATTATTTTTCTTCTAAACATTTGACTGTAAATAATTTAGTTAATCAATTCTTTATCAACTAGGGGTCTTAATTTTAATTCAAAAGCCTGTCCAGGTTTCTAGTACACCTCTAGGCCTTACAATTAATTATTTTACATAATTACTATTCTTGTAAATACTACTGGGCGAAATCATTTAATAAATAAACAAGACGCCGACTCGGCGTTAACCTCGGGTCGGTGGATAGGGGATCGTCTGGTAAATATCCAAAAATTGTGTAAATCACGATAGTTTAATAGTTCACTAGTATAAATGGTGAATCAGTAAATCAAAGCTCCGTTTTAATATTTTATTGACAATAATTACTGGCCCTAGCCTCATCAAACCTATTGTTTTCTCTCTGCATTATATCAGCGAATGTCGAGAAGTTTTCATTTAACGTTCTACTGAAAAACGGGAGCGGCCTTTTTGGTTGTATAGGGAAATTCCGGCTCAGGGGTAAATGTTTATACGCGTCATATTCTATGTACGCGTTAAAATAGCACACAACATTATTCAAAATAATGCAGCGCGCATCAGTGCACACAGACATTATTACACTGGCCTGTAAGGCCAAGTGTCTTAAATCCCCCTTTTTCTGTTTTTTTCGTAGTCGAGAAATCGAGTTTGCGTTAGCTCATCGCAGGCTCAGGGTGCAACGATTAAGCCAAAATGCCATCGATTCCCTCGGTTCCATGATTTAGATAGTATAGTAATAAGCTCGTATACAGAGGAGGTCTCGTCAGTATACCACAATGCATTGCGGTTTTGGACCATTGTATACATATTATCAATTCGCCGGCGCAGCTCGCTCAGTTGGGACGTTGGCTGTCGTTGTAAACACATCTCAGAAAATCTATCGTTTTAGAAAATGGCGCATATTTTTCGCTCCTGGTATTGGATTAAAGCTTCTCTTTTGGAAGCAGTGAGCACCTCATCTGATTTATGTTTGTTGGGTCCTCACAGCCTTTGTATCTAGCCCCTGATGGAGTAATGTGTGTTGAGCAGTGCCGTATTATTAACGTTAGTTTCAGCTGAGAAGCCATGCAATTTTTCTATCAACTGTGAATGGGGTTAAAGTTTCCAAAATGTTTACCGAATGATGCATTCTAGTTGTGTTTTTGAGGTGAGTTTTTCACAGTAAGAGGTTATATTGAAGTTGTAGATAGTCGAGCGAACTTTGTAGAAACATCAAACATGCACAGCCTCAATAAATATAAGATTTATATCAAATTTGCCATATTTAATAAATGTAACTAACACCAGTTATATCGACTTCAGGAATAATATTCACTACAGAAACTTCAAATCGTCATAAAGATTTAAAATCATATAAACAAGTCTTGGAAGCCACTTTAAATTTTTAGGGCACATATGTAGGACTTTGTACAATCTTTTATACAGTAATGTATCTCCTGAAGTTATTCTGGCTATATATAAAACTGATTTGTTCTTGTATATCTTGTTTTAGTTCTTCGACTTTGATAACCCTGGCAAAGAGAATATTCAATACATGTAATATTTTGTGGGAATTTGATATTTTACCATCACCATCAAGTGATGGTCAAGAGTTGGATGCTGTACACCTGTACTCCACCACTAAATCAGTAAAAAGACAAGCACCATGTAATTGCTACCATCAACATATGAATCCTGTCTGCTTAGTAGATCTACCACCTCATTGAGAGTCAACAGATAAGATGATGAAGAGGTACATGTGATATTGATGAGACAGAGATTTTATACCCAGGTTTGAGGTGTATGTCTGTATGCCACCAGACAAATTAAACTAACAGACAACCATAAATGGTAAAATATATAACTCTGTGCAGCCACATACAGTTCTGGTACACGACGGTCACTGGTTATAAACAGAATAAAGCCACAAGTCAATTGATTTTGAAATTATTTTGTTGTTAGAAGCAGCACTAATTAAACAGCATATTTTATGAAATGTTGCACTATTTCCATTTAACCAAAATACATGGAAAGTATAAGGCTAGAAGAACAGGAAACAGTGCTTTTTTAAACCTACTGTATAAAATATTATCTAGAGTCATAAAATATTAAAATTATTTATACCTATTCATATATTTACATGTTAACTTCTTAACTTATTTATTTTTTAAATTATGATTTTACATTGTGGGTGCACCAGAACTCGGTTCCGGCCGGTTAGTTCCTGCCGGAACTCCGATTTTTCAGAGTTCCAGCCGGAACTAATAGAAAAAGCATGACCGGAACTGGAACTCTGTTGTTTTCAGAGAGATAGAATATCATACGTTTTTGTGTCAAACAAAAGTTCACAGTAGGAAGAAATTTGGACTACACAAGGAAAATGTACATGACGTTTAAAGTTTGTCAATCTTTTTATTCTCACATTTGCGAGTCCACCTTGATGACTTGAAGTGTCTGCCAGAACTTTTTTGCAGTTCCGGCAGGAACTTTAAAAATTGGTTCCGGTGCACCCCTATTTTACATATTACCACAGCATGGCTTAATGTCAATAATATATACTATGTAAAACTGATGAAATATGAATAAAGTTTAAAATATGCCTTATTATTGCTTTATTGGGCAGTCTGTATTATGAATGAGATGCAATGAGTATTCTCCAAATGGCTTGCCAATTTTAATACACTTTCCAATGTGGGCAATGATTGAGCAATGTCTGCAGGTTGTGGTGTTTCAGTTCGCATTGTGATGCTGTTTGGTTGTATGTCTCAGATTCAACATTTACAGGCTTGTGTGTTTTGGTAAAATGATCTTTTCTGTTGTCAATTACAAGCTCAGCCAAACTGTCACTTATAGACAAGCCAAAATATGATGAGATTCAGCCTCCTCCAAGGAAAAAATCTTTTTCTGTAGGAATTGTATACCCTTGACCTTTAAGTCGACTACCTGAAAGACAGAAAGATAAAATGAAACAAGTTAATTGTACTGTTCTGAAATATATATCGGGTGTTGATGGAACACTGGCCATTTTATTATAGAGAGATATGAAATGATTATGACTATGGGGTCACTCATAGCATAATTTTGACAAGAATACAGCCTAATGCTAGTGAATGGAGTTCATAAGATGTCAATGACATATCCATGCAGCATCATTATTCCTGAAATTCAACAAAAATACACACTGGGAGGGGGGCTCTTAACCTTTCAAACTGAAATAGGGGGGGGGGGCTAAAATCTCTCTAACCCCTCTTATAAAGTGTTCAACCCCAAAATTTTGCTTCACCCCTCCTATTTTGTGTGAAGGTCTTTAACCCTATTAATGCCCAACCCCTGCCAAAGCTCGCTCAGTGGTGTCGCTTACACCTCACTAGAAATTTTTCCACTCCTTTAAAAAATATGAAAATCTGCCCTTGAACAGCATCTTGATGTTACTCGTATACCTGACTCCAGTGGCGGGAAATAGGGGGCGCGATCGCTCCCCCCCCCAGATAATTTTAGCTAGCTTTCGTTTTGAAACATGTAACATGCGGGCCAGATGCTATACCTGGCCAAATGAGCTCCCGTAGCTGGATGACATAAAAAATCACAGGTCTAGGTGCACTTGCTTGGGTATTACTACTCGAAACATATACATGCTTAGCAGTATTCTCATTGGCAACATCACGAGATTATATTTCATAGCAAATCATAGAGGTATCCTATTTATATTAATACAAACAAACAACATTGCTTTCTCCAGTATAAACTGTAAATATCAGTCTTAAACAAGCTATTGTCTCTTTAATACTTCATCAATATAATAGAAAATGGATAAGAACATTTGATATAATGAAAGGGTACGAACTCATGTTCCTATATATCAAAACTGAAAAATAACATGATTGCAGGCCATTGCATGATGAATTGAATATCATTGTGTTTTCGCGCCATTTCGCGCGGTAACCGGAATGTCGCGTGTTTACGCATAGTTTGAATCTGGTTTGAACACAGGCGGCCCAGACGTGTATTAGTG